GTGTGGAGTCGGCGGGGACAACAGTGCTTGCTGTAGTGCGGATGCGGTGTAGTGCTGCTGCTGCTGCTGATGTGCGCTCTGCGGGAAGCTGGGGTACTGGTCGAGCTGCGGGACCTTGAGAGCTTGCTGAGCCGGGGGGAACCCCACTCCTGCGGCCGGGCTGTAGCTGCCGGGGGACACGCGGGGCTGCTCGGGGTACAGGTGGGGATGTAAGTGCACCTGGTCGTAGTTGGTGGGGGGATACCTGCTCACGTTCAGGCTGCAGAGGACAGAGAGCAACCGTCACTGTCTCACCAGCAAGCATCAGGAGGCAGGGGGACAGCTTGGTCCCCCAAACCAGCGCTGGGCTGGCGAGGAAGCCACGTCCCAGCCCAAGATACCCACCCATCTCCGTCCTCCCTGCCTGGGGAAGCAGCAGCATCCCTACCTGTGCGACTCGGCGCTGTCGGCAGTGGCCGTAGGTGAGGGAGGCCATCAGGTTAGCGCGGTGCTGCATCTGCATCTGGTTGGCGCTGGGGCTCATGGGCATGCCCCGCGCATGGGAGGACATGCTCTGCCCGGCCACCAGGCTGCTGCTGACCATGTCGCCGCGCGCCTGCACTTGGACGGTGACCTGCTGAGGTTGCGCCAAAACTGCTGCTGCAGGCCCAGGCACGTCAGCCCCATGTTTGGGGGAGGGGAACAGTTACCGGACTGCGGGAAGATTGTGTTGTGGGACGGCATCCCCTGGAACTGGGACTGGGAGGCAGCACCTACGGGGAACAAAGACCCTCAGCACCTGCAGCCAGCGCGGGGCAACGCTCAGGAGCGAGTCCTGCCCCGTGCAGGAGCTGCTGCTCTCCCGGGCCATGCTGGGAGTCCCGGTAAGCGGGTGACAAGGAGTGTGACTCCCAACCGTGCCGTCACGCTGCACCAGCGCGCAAAGGTCACAGCTACAGCCCCTTCCACAGAAAGAGAAACAAAACTGAGGGCGATTTGCATAAACCCCAGAATATCAGCCCTCCCTCCCCACCCCCGGGAGCGATAAGTAAGGATCTTGTGACAAGAAACCCAAGAGCACATTCCAGCTGGCAGCTCCTCGCGAGCTCTCGATAACACCAGCCCTTGCTGCCAGATGGAGCAGCTTTTCCATCATCACAAGCTGCGCAAGGACCAGGCCATGGGGGGGGACCGAAGTCCCGGGCTCCCCCCGCACTGGTGTCCCCAGAGCTGTGATCGGCCCATATGGTTGTGCCAAGAGCCCGCCCCGAGGAGCAGATGGCTCCGTGCAGCGCCGGCGCTTACCGTGGGGCTGGAGCACGCTGCTGCTCACAGGAGGTGGGCTGCTGTTGGGTTGCCTGAAGAGATGGTTATTAGGGTGGTTCGGGGGCGGGCTGGATGGCTGAATCCGTAACCTACGCAGGGAAACAAGCACCTCACCACCACGCCTGCTCCTCATTAGGATGCCTTCCCGACTGCCAGAGCTGACGCCAAATACTGTGCTTCTTGAGTTTTAAATAAACACCACACGGCCCTCGTTGGGATCCCAAGCTCTTTCCAGCTGGGCTTCTCCTCTGGGAGCCATCCAAGTTGCCTATGCCGTGCCCATAGCAAGCATAACACAGTGGCTACACCAGAAACACAGGTCAAGGGCACTGCAGGCTTGACTCCTGACTCAGTGCAGTCAAGAGGCAGAACTATCAATGATCTGCTCAAAGCAAGTTTGTGCCTTTGACTCGTGTCCTTCTGCTTCTAAAAGTCCTTCAGACAGAATCCAGCTACAAGGACCAGGCACATTCACCAGGGAACAGGCTATGCCATTCTAACTGCATACACTTCCAGCTCAGCCCTGACTCTCCTAGGTGTGTTAGCTCACACTGAGAGTAAAATCCTCTCCCCAGAGCTTCCCTGAAGCAGTTTCTTTACCTCTGAAGCTGGTGAGTGAGCAGAGCTGGCTGGTTTTCACATGGAGCTTGCAAGGGTGGAGATGGCTGGGGTGGCCGGATGCAGTCCTGAACCAGGCACCAGAAGGAAAAGAAAGTGTTTGCAATCCACAGTGTCTCAACTAGTAAATTTAGACAACACTGACTGGTGAGTGGGACACAGCCAGATTCAAACACTCAGTCCCAGAGTGCTGCTATCGCAGCAGCTGTGCAGACACCACTGCTCGAGTGCTTCAGGCTCGCTCCTCATGACACCCAGCCAAGCAAACCACCCTCCTCTATCCCACCAGGACGTGCTGTGCCTGCAGCAACACAGGGAAACACAGCTCAGGCTCCAGTACCTGAATCTGCTGATGAAGAATCTGATGGTGCTGCTCCTGCTGGTACAACATGTGCTGCTGCTGCGTCTTCTCCAGGGTCCTCTCGTCCATGTGCCCCCCATACATCTTCTGAAGCTGCTCACACTCCTGTAATGAACCCAGTGAAGGCTGTAAGTGCCATAAAGGCGATCTCTGCAGCCTACCCCTGTGGGAAAGCCAGTAAAGAGAGCCCAATCCATTGAGCTGGATGGAATCAGGTGTGGGATAACACAGCCAGCTCAAGCCTCAACAGAAAAGAAAGGGTGCTATGCTCCCTGGAAAGGGGGGGGTGGCAGCCCCCAAGGCTCCCAGCCTGCAGTAGAACAGCACATGCATTTAGAGGACACTCAGCAGGGTTGCTGTAGATGTGCAGAGGGGCTGCAAAGCTACCACTCTGTGTCCTCGGCCATTAGTGGTGAAGGTTTCACCTTTTGCTTCCTGAAGCAGTGAGGCTGAGACAATAAAAGCCCTTGCAGAGGCTCTGTTGAGGACCCCCAGCCCTCTCTTACCTGCTGAAGCTGCTTGATGCTACTGTTATTGCCCATCTTCTCCAGGTGGGCTTTGAAAGCCTGGATGCTGGCAGCACCATCAGAGAAGCGCCGAACCGGGGAGAAGCGCTCGGTGGGGAGGTGCAGAGTATTGGAGTCCTTGTAAATAGAACTGAACACATGGGGAAGTGGGTTAGAGATGCCAGCAACTGCGAAACAGAGTGATACAGAGACACTTACACCAGCCACGCCAAGTTCTACCTGCCCACTCACCCAGAATAAACCATGGTTTAGAACAAGAAACAAAGTGCCATCATCACTGTGAAGAGGAAACAGGATTCTCAAGTATCTCCTGTGCCTGGGCAGATAAATGTGTTTTAAGGTTGGGGATGACTTGGCCACAAACCAGATTCCAGGTGGGCCTCAACTCACAGTCCATCCACTCAGATGGATCTGTCCCTCAGCTGGAAAAGGGTTACAGAAACCATTCAGCACCCTAAAAACCTAAAATTTACCTCCTCAGCAGCACTTCCTGAGCCTTCCACCTCCCCAGGACCCTGACTACATCTGACGCCTGTGGAAAACAGGAGGGGCAAACAGAGGACGGAGCCCGATGTGTTCCACAGCCTCTGAGGAGGAAGAGGGGCTGGATCCATGCTTAGAGATGCACTGAATTAAAACAGAGGGCAAGAGCCTAACTCTGCACAGGAGGGGGAATCTTTCTAACACATTAGCTGAGCTGCCACTTTGCTCGCAGCACCATCAAGTATCTGGGCACTACAGACACCTTCCCTTCACAATGAAGTTTCTTCTTCACCATCAGAGGGAGCCAGATTTTTTCCAGGAGCTTGTTTTCTCCCGAAGCTGGGGCTCCCCATCCCCAAAGTCAAGCACTAAGCTCCTGCCCGCCATTAGGCACAAGCTCTATCATCATTAACAAAGCTGTCCCTCCATACAGGGGTCACAATGTGCCTTACAACAAACAGAACCAGGTTTCTCTGCCTGCCCTAATGGTTCCTGTGCAAATGCAAGCCCTATAAACCCCAGCAAACATTACCTAATGGCCTTTGTCTGTGAGGTGGCCTCGGAGATGTGGGCTTTACAGCACCTCTGACATCCTGGCACTAATCCCCATGGAGCCTCTCTAGCAGCAACTGGTGCGGTCCTGACCCACAGTGCTGCAGGCAAGGTGCTGCTGTGGCAATGCTGAATATGGCTCTTTACCAAAGCCTGTTCCACAAAGTGAAACAGTTTCTCCCAGAGAGGCTCCCCCTTATCAGAAGGTGACCGATGCTGGACCACGTCCAGCATACTGGGTTCAGTTCTTGTCACTTGGTCTGCCTTAGCAGGACGTACTGCAGCTTCTACAGATTACACACAGCTTCCTTCCAAGGACAGAGCTGTGCCCCTGCCTTCTGATGCCATCGCATCCATTATCCTGACCCATTTGATCTCCTCTTGTACTGACAGGAAGCAGAAGCTACAGATACAATTATGCTGAGGTTCCCAAACCCATGTGGCCAAGGCAGGACAGTTGTACCGCCTTGTACTGTTGTTGTACTTCAGTTCTGCCTTCAGATACTAAGTTATCATGACCAAAACTTGGTGCTGTGCAAGAGCATGGCTTAAAATATGTGAAGTGCTAAAATAAAACCCTCCTGCCACTCAGTAACTAGGTCTAGTGATGTGATGACAAAGAGTGCTAACGGTTTCTGTGCCGTACGTGGCTGGGACACATCACGGGGCGATCTGTTTAGGCCATGGTCAGATAAAGTTTCTGTGATTTCATAGGTAAAACATGGGGCAGGCTCACAGCGTGTTATGACACCGAGGGTGGAACGAGCAGATACCACCCTGTTCATGATGCAACAGCCTTGGGATGCCAAAGCCAGGAGGTGACACCGATGTATTTACAGGGTAAGTGTGTTTTAACAGCCTTGTCAAAGATCAATCCCTGCAGTGGGAGAGGGACCCAGCTTACCTTTGGGGTTTGAAGCAATCCTGAAAGCAGGACACAGCACATTCTGGTGGTTTTGCAAGCTGCACTCCTCTTCCTATCAAGCTGTGACCCTAGAAATCTCTCCCCTCCTGCTCTTCCCATCCCCCAAACACCTCTGTGAGGGAGTAACTTCAGGGTATGGAGGTGCTTATCTTGGTTTTCCGGAGTTCCAGCGTGGCACTAGCACTGGCTCAGTCTGCTCAGAGTTCACCTGTCTCTGCTGATTACATCAGTGCTCAGCTCAGCAGGTATCTGGCTACAATAAAAAGCGCTTTGTCAAGCTTGCCAGGGTGAGCTGGCTGAAGACTGACCACGAGCACCAACCCAGCCTGGCAGGAGCCTGCTGTCTCACCAGCTCGCAGCCGGGTTGTGCTCCCAGCACAGGGCACAGCGCCGGGGCTTAGGCTCCCTCTGTGGCATTGGCATCTCCGGTCTGCTGCCGTGGCAAGGACTCTGTGCCAGGTTAACACCTCTCCCCTCACATTTGAGTATGCTCAGATCAACCTGCAGAGGTTTCCCTCTTTGCCAGGCATTGTGATTTTTCCTTCCCCCTCTCCCCAGCTTCCTTCCCTTCCCCACATCGTTCCCAACGGGGCTTCAGATCAGAAATAAAATGACTCTTGAGGAGCTTTGCAAAGAGACTTTGCAGTCAAAACACACAACTCTGGTGCAGAACAGTGAGGTTTTTCAGCTCTGGTGTAGATGACTCTTGGTGCAGTCTTTTGCCTGTATCTGCCTCCAAAAATGTTCCGTAGAAAATGTGCTATCTACTGCGACCTTGACACCTACCATTACAGCAGAGAAAGGCTTTCCTCTGGAATGAGCAGCTCATTCCCAGCCTTTATTTCATGGCACGTCACCCCCCCAGCCACAAAATAAGGACCGGGGGGAAGAGCCATCTGATGATCCCTGTCCTGCATGGCTTGGTGTGCACACGGAGCCTGCGTGGCACAGCACTCCCAGACACCCTCTGCTCTGTGGCTCTGCTCTTCGTCCCTGCTCTTCCTCCTCCTCCCTCCCTGCCAGCGGGACGTCCTCAGTGCTCCGTTCCAGACGCCCTGTGAGCAGGTTCCTGGTGCAAAGCTGCCCGAAGGAAGGGCCGGTGCCGTTACTCACCGGTGCTGGTCGGGGACCAGGTGCGGAGCCCAGGCCCGGGGTCGGAAGGACTGCTGTCCTAGCTGCCTCTGCAAGTCTGGAGGGATTTCAGCTGTAGGGTTGGTCATTGCCAGAGTGTGCCTTTTTGACCTATTTGCCAAGTATCTGCAACAAGCAGGAGCACATTTGATAAGAGACTGATGGGAGAATGCCTAAAAGAGGGAGCGTTAGATAATCCAGAGGACACGGGAAGGAAGAAGGCTGCTGCAGTGCTCGGAACCGACCCGGGAGAAGCACGCCATGGCCACACTGCCCGTGCCCATCACACCACTGGGTCCTCAGTGCTCGGGGGACAAGTGCAGTTTCAGCTGCCTGCCTTGGAAGAGAAGAGCAGCCGTTTGCTCTTCCTGGCAGGAAAGCCACGTTTCCATTGAATCATACCATCATAGAACAGCTCAAGTTGGAAGGGACCCATAAGGATCACCAAATCCAACTCCCTGCTGCTGGCAGGACTACCTAACATCCCAAGGGGAGTGCTGGTATATCCCTTTGGGAATACCCAGGTGATGACCTGCCCTCAATGTGGATTCACTCCCCTACAGCAGGTCTCTCCCAAGGCCCCACTGAGCCTCGGGGAAGGCTGCTGCATGCACGGAGCCAAGAGACGAGCCACAGATTTCCCAGAGAAGGGGCATGGAGCAGAGCTGCTGCTCCACTCACCCTTGCAGGAAGCTTCTGCACTTCAGACCTGCCCTGGGACTCACTGTGAGCAATGTCCACTTGTCACAGCAGGGGAAGGGTGCCCAACGGCCACCCCTGAGGGCTGACGGGTGGGCAGAGCCTCCGGCTGCCCAAGGCAATGAGGAAGGGCGCTGCGGTGAGGAAGGCCGGTGCTCAGCCGGTCCAAGGGCGCCATCTAGTCCCTGCTCTGCTCTCCAGGGAGTTGGGAACCACCTGGCAAAGCCAGTGGGAACCCAGGCAGGGAGAGGGGCCCTTCCTCTGGGGCACAGCCCCAGCACTGAGGCTGGGCTTTCCTCCTGCACCAGCAGCTTCAGCTAAAGCACCCTCTGCACTGCACCTAAGAGACTGCAGGACTCCCTCCAAGGACTGGGGAGCACACAGGGCAACACCAGGAGCCTCTGCTTCAGCAAGGATGTGACCAAAGGCCACAGAGCCACACACTGCCCTGAGCTGCAGTTCTGGCTGCAGGGATGCCCAGCGCAGCTGGGGCACGGGGCCAGAAGCGATAACAAGAGCATGGGACGAGCACTTCAGCAGCTCAAGGCCGGTGGATGAACCCAAGCGGGTGAATGCCCACTTGGGAACTTAACTCCTTCTGTTCTGATGAACCATCTGGTAACGGTGACAAAGATCACTTGGCCAGCACCACCAGGGATGCTAATGGCATTCTCACCTTCCCTCTTTTCCCCTGCTAAGGCTCTCTACCACTTCACCTGGTGAAGCACAGAAAAGCAGCGAGCAGTAAAGCTGTGGCCCCCTCGAAGCCTTCTCCTTGCTAGCTGCAGAAGCCACTTAAGCAGAAGAGAGCAAGTTAACAGAATGAGGAGTGCTTGGCCTTGTGGTAACTTGCCAAAGCCTGTGCCATTAGCTGTTTAAGAATCATTTGATGCAGGCGGGGAAAGTTTCCCAAAGAGCTTTACAGTTGTGGTTTGCTAAGATCATTTTATTTCAGACCTCCAGGGAACAATCCAATCATGAGCTTTAACAGCGGTTTGGGTGGAAGAAAGTTCCCCAAAGCTCAAAGGAGATGTGACTGTTCCTTGGAACACAGAGAAGATCTGCTCTGTTCTCAAGGTCAGGCTGAGAAGGGCAAAACCTGCTCACTGGAGGCTGCACACAGAGCAGTGTTCTGGGAAGCTAAATATTTGCATCTGTCCCTCATGCTAACACTATTTACCCTTCTCCTCTGATGACTACTGGTGGGTTGCAACATCAGGGGGTGGAAAGCAAGTTAACACACAACCTGGACGGGGCTTTTTCTGGGCCATCTGGTGGAAGAGGAACACGTGGTATGAAAGGGCTGAGGGCAGCACTGTCGAGAGCAGCCAAGTGACCTATGGATGGGTCCAAGGAGACTTGCCTTCCAGTGGGAGCTCAGCATTTCAGCAGCCTGCAACCTACAAAACACTGCAGGGGGAGGCTCAAAGTGTTTCCAGCTGAGCTAATGCTTTAACTTAACACTCAACTGAAATCATAGGGTTTAACATAGGAGAGGTGAAAACCTGCCCAGAATCAGATTTAGCTGGTTTGCACAGTCAGAAAGACTATCCACCATCCGAGGTGGTGCCAGTGGACATCACAGGCCCTAAAATAACAACTTTTAGTAGGCATCTAGGCAGCACATGTGTGCGCTGAGCCCGTGTGAGCACAGCACACAGCCAGGGCTCAGCAGCTGACAGGGGCTGACAGCAGCCCCCTGCCCGGAGCCACACTCCTCATCTGCTCAGTGCTGTGCCCTGGCCTCATTTCTCTCCTGGAGCTGCCTCGCAGCTGGGGCAGGACATGAGCACAGACCCTCCCAGTGTCACGGCTCACAGGATGAACAGCAGCTCATGAAGAACCAGGGTCTAAGGCTACGCAGAAGACACGAGATGTGCTCTGGGTCAACTCTAAGGTAGGGCTGGAAGCAAGTCCTTTCATGTGTACCAGGTTTGACTTCCTTGTAAGCTCAGGCAGAAGGAGGAGTCTCAGCACACACTCTGCACAGTCTGTTACTGCACACACCCGGTGTTCAAATCCCCCCTTTGCTCTGGAGCACTGGAAGGAAAGAGCTGGCAAAGGCTCTGGAGCACAGCGTCCACCCACCCCAGTACTTCTCTGCCTGCAGCCAAGCCCCAGGCTGAATCCTGCTCCCGAGTGCAGCCCCTTGAGGAACGCTACCTTGCTCGAGGTGGTGGCCTGTGCAACCTGGGGGGAGTCCAGAAACGTGCTGGGTTTGAGGTAAGCAGCAGGAGCACTCCGAAACCACACTCACCACATGTAGTGCACCAGCCGGTTAGCAGAGAGAGACTATGCAAAGCCACTAAGAAAGTGTTAGCAAGGACAAGGTTAGTGTTCTCATGGATTGGGAAAGTACAAGCATGTTCTACCCGCCTCCTAGTATCTGTTTGGAGCAAAGAGGACAGAAGTTTCCAGCCTGGTACCTAATGATCCCTTCCTTATTGGTGCAGACTATTTTAAGGCTTACTGCTAAAATCAGCAGGTACCTGTATTTCCAGCAAGCTCACTTTGTTTAAGGCATCAGAGTTGGATGTTTACTGCATGTCTTGATACAAAAGCTGCATTGCCACCCAAGGCCACAGAAGAGCTCTTCCTACCTCCATCACTCAGCAGGGAGGGGTGAATCACTGAGCACTCATTTGCAGGTTAGTGTGGATTGCATGCTGGTGCACACTAAGCAAAGGAATTTAGCAGTTTCAGAGTTTCTGGAGAACCTAATGCTCAATTAGCTCCCCACTCCTGGGGGAAGCCAGCTCTGTAAGCACCTAGCAGTGTCAGAGGAGGAACTGCCTACAGCAATCAACACCCACAGAACAAGAGGAACCTTGAGCCTTCGCTGGAATCAACACTGTTGCCTGTGAGGAGGTTGCTGTGTTTTAACTCAGCTGTGGAACACCACAGGGTGAGCCTCTTGGAGGCAGCAAGGGCAAATGTTAACAGACAGGAGTTACCTCTGCACAGCTTCCTGATCGGGCTCCCCATCGGAGCTCTCCTCATCCACGGGGGTGACAGCCGGGACAGCCTGCGGACAGGAGAGAGGCCACGGGCTGCAGAGAGCGGCCACGTGGGCCCATCCCACACCACCCCAACCAAGCTCTGACACGGGTATGTCAGCTCTGCTGCAGCACCCAGCACCAAGAACCCCTTCCAACACTCCTCCCCCAATCAGAACTGCTTGTACGAGGCTGCTGCCCTGTCGGTGCTACCAGGAAAAGTCATTGATGCACCAAGGGCCAAAGAATGCGCGTTGATGCCCAAGGTGGATGTTTTAGCTTTCTCCAGTAGAGCAGCAAAGGAGGAGAAAAGCCACCATTTGAAAAGGCTCACATTTGTCAGCTCCAGAGAGGAATGCACCTCAGCTGCTAGCTACAGCAGAGCACAGCAACTGACCCACATGGGGACAGAGCACCCCACTGCTCTGGAGTGGGGGAACCTTTGGGAGCAAACAGGCACGCTCCTGCTTCGAAGGGAGCTACAGATTGAGCCCACTGCTCCTGCCACCTCTGCCTGAAGGAGAAGGTATTTATAAGCACACCACCAATTCTCTCCTTTCCTTCTGCTACTTACTGGTGTCATAGTGACGAGGGGAGAGGGACCTCGAGGGCGTTTGAGCAGTTGCTGTGCGTGTAGCTGGATGTTGGCTCCGCCGTCTGACGCCCTGCGCCCCAGAGGGCCCATGCCATTCAGCAGCTGCAGGGTGGGGGGCTGCAGCAGGGACTGCTCCTGGCAAGCACAGACAGCACAGTCATCAACCTTCCTTCCAGCACCTGAGCCCCAGCCACACCCCCAGCCACTGGCAGGGGAGGAGACAAGCCTTCTGGGCTTCAGGAGAGATGAAGGAACATCAACATCTCAGCACTGACATGGGGTGGAGAGAGACCACATCAGTGGGAAAGTGGTGTTTAACTCCCCATTTCCCTGCCCTCCTCTGTAGCTGCCAGGCAGGTTGCAACGTGCAGCCCCAAAGCCAGGCAGCACTGTCCTATTTCTCCCCAGCCCAGTAATTCATTTCATACTGCAGTGCTCTTTCATTCTTCAGCTTTTTAAGGAACCAACTAGAATCACACCTAAAGACACAGCAAGAAGGTACATTTTGAAGCTTATGTAGTCCAAGAAACTGGCAAATGGAGCAAGTCTGAGCAGAGCAGACCCCCCCCCCCATGCTGTTGGGGCACATGCAGGGGTCAGTACCTTGTACTCCAGCTGCCCCGTGGGCTGCAGGTTCTGCCGAGGCAGCACATTGTGCATGAAGTTCACATTGGGGGTCACCTGCAGGAACGGAGCCTGAGGAGTGACACGGGGGAAGCCAGGCAGGAGCTTCTGCAGATCCTCCATGACCTCCGTCCTGCGCAACCACAGTTACAGAGGGGAATTAGCAGTGATGTGATGAGGACCAGCCACGGGCCCAGCACGATCTGCTTCCCTTCACAAAAAGGCTTCTTACAGCTCTCAGAAGGGTTCCCTTGACCCTCCATCAAGGAGGTAGTGGCTGATACTAACCGTGGGTCAGCTACTCCAACTGTGTGCCTTCTCATGGAGAGGTAGCGGACCAGAGCTTCAGGTGATGGCTCTTCTCCTTCATCACTGTCCAAGTTCATTGTTCCATCGGTCTGGGCAGGCAAAACATTACAATGATGAAATACAACGTGAGGATCAAGCCAGGGGACAAGAACTTGCAGGGGTCATCAAGGGTGTACCTCACCTCCACAATCTGGTTTTCCGGGTTGATGAGCTGGACCTGGGGCACGTTGATGCTCATGGTATTGCCTGTCTGTTCTGTCTGCTGGGCAGAGATCAAAGTCAGAAGACATGAAGCATCTTATACACCCCCATTACAAGCACTGCCGGATTGGCACCAGTGCACTTGGGAACAGGGAGGTTAGCCTGGAGCCAGGGAAGTCTCTTTATTCTTGATTCTCAAGGGGTTGCCAGCAGCACAAATTGAGGAAGCAGATGGCACAGAAGTCCTGGTCTGCAGCCTCTAGCTCCTAACCAGCAACCCTCTCCTTGCCTTCTCTTCTGTCCCCAAGAGTCTGAAGGGTTCATTAAGCCCACATCCAGTGAACAAACTGTTAAGCACAGGATTATGGCACCCTGACTACACACCACATGCTCAGACAAGGGACCTTTTGATGCTCCTGCCAGTTCGAGAACACCCAGAAGCGAGTCTGGGTTTAGCAGGGGAGGGACCAGCTGGCCTTCCAGGGCTGGCAGAACAGCACACGAGAGGGAGCTACCTGGATGTTAGCAGAGGTGGGGAAGGTCATGGTTCGTGGTATACTGGGAGATGCTGCAATGCGCAGGTTCTTGTGCCTCTTCAGCCGGTCGCAGAGCAGGCTGTAGATTGCACTGTAGTGATCATAAGCATCGGCTCTTAAAGACTGCAAGAGGAAAGGGAGAAAGTGCTCAGTTCCTTGTGTCAAGCAACACACTAAAGCTCAGCTGCCAGAGGTGATGAGCAGCAAACCCGGCCATTGATGTGCCACAGAGGCACGTGCCGTACCTGAATGGTGCGCTCCTTGTCCAGCCCCATGTCTGCCATTGCCAGCAACACGTCCTCGTTCAGCGGCTCCATCTGCCTCTCGGTCTTCAGGTGCTGACACTCTGCTATCAGCTGCAAGAGCACAGACACAGCTCAGCTCTGACAGTCCCAAAGGCACACTGATGAGTCACGGCGCTCTGAAAACCAAGACACCAGGCTCCGGCAGCAAGCTGGCACGAGCTCTGAAGGCTGATGGCACACCAGCTCCAAATCCAGTGCCTTAGGCTCTCAGCACCAAGGCAGAGGTACAGAAATACATGCAGATGAGAAGCAATGTGGAAAGCAAGACCAGGAGACAGAGAAAGCGGAAGGGCAGCACACCAGCACTTGGAATGGGAGCTGAGCAGCTGAAATGAACCCCGCAGCACTGTGTGCCCGGAGCCCACGGCAGCCCGGCAGGCACCGAGCACACCCCGCTCGCACCCCAGCTCCTCACCCTGTCAAACTCGGCGTCAGCCTCCCCAAGCTTCATCCACTTGTGTTTGCAGATCTGCTCCATGGAGAGCCTCTTGCTCGGGTCCAGGACCAGCATGTGCCGGATCAGATGTTCACATTCTGCAAGGGAAGAGAGGCCGGTGACCGCAGGGGGGGACACAAGGGCCAACCTGCCTTTATCTTTCATGTGTGCTGTCACCATGGGGGACTGCTGAGGCTCTCCCCACTTTGGGCTGGGACCTAAACTTGCTTTAAAAGCACTACGTGTTTCAGGAAGCATTTTCTGCAGGAAGAGAACCTCTTCCCCAAGTAATGCGGCAGGAAAGGGAGCTTTCAGCTGGGAAGCTCCACGCAGCCCATGTGAAATCATTCCTTAACCTGACAGCAGGCAACCAAGAACCAACATATGACTCGTTCTTAAGTGGAGTTGGTTTTCTCTGAGAATTAATCACACTTTTGAAAACCAAGATTTGTTACTAAAGCATTTGCAGGAACAGGACATAGACATTTGTCTCTAATGGGGCTATTGCTGGAAATTCACGTGCCATAATGCTGTAAAAAGCTTCTTGTATAGTGAAAGCCTCTACATTCCTCAGTCATTATTCCACTTTTAGCTTTCACATTTCCCAGACTTCAGGAGGAGTGTATCTCTGCTAACATTTTGCTGCAGTTTGCCCAGTTACATACATGAAAGCTGAGATTTTAAGTATGAGTATGTTGGTTTCCAAATTCTAGCTTCAGACCCCGTTTTAGCTTATGTTCCAAACCACCATCCATCCAACAGACACACTTCCTGGCAGCCCACTTGCCTGGCACATGAACCAAGTGCTATACTGTAACTCCAGTGCTGAAGGAAGGTGTGATCAGAGGCGACCAGCACGGGCAGCCCTTACCTGTGGACATGAAGAAGGGGATGCGGAACTTGCCGCTGAGCACCCTGGCCCGCAGGTTCTGCAGCGTGCTCCCGTCGAAGGGCAGAGCACCACACACCAGCACGTACAGCACCACGCCGAGGCTCTGCACCCAGGCCACGGCAGCAGCAGCAGGGAGAGACCAGGACACAGTGGTTAGTCGTGGGGGATGGGGTGCAAGAGACAGTAAAGTGATAGTAAAGAAACTCTCGTTGGCACGGCCCCTGTTAGCACCTCAGTGGGAAAGGCTGGGCTCGCAGGCAAAGCAGAGCTGGGGCCACAGAGACCATCCTGAGCCCCTGCACTAAGATGCTCTCTGCAAACCCCTCCCGCAGCAGAACTGGGGGCTTCCTTGTCCAGCTCTGCCAGATGAAGCCCTCCCGCAGGAAGTGCTCTGCCATTCACAGCACTGAAGTGAACCATATTCTTGGGAAACTCGATTAAAATGCATTTCTGGGCAACGAGTATTTTTGGCATCATGTCTCTCAATAAAGAGAACGTGTGACATAACAGCCAGAATAGAAAGATAGAGCCAGTTTTATAAAGCATTTCTTTAAAAAACATTATTTTTTGCCACATCAGGGGCTTCTCTCTGAGACACGTACTAAATAGGAAGGAAAGGCAAAAAAACAGAGTGAAAATCAGATCAAGCTAAGAGGTGCATCACATACCCAAATGTCAACCTTCGGCCCGTCGTACTCCTTGCCTTCAAAGAGCTCTGGAGCAGCATAGGGGGGGCTCCCACACCAGGTTTTAAGCAGCTGGCCAGGGGTGAAGATGTTGCTGAACCCAAAATCTGAAAGGACAAAGAGAACCGATTAGAGGAAGATGACCCACTCCAACTGTCCTCATGAAAGGGTGTTTCAGTCGCTTGCTGGGCCTAAAGTCACCTTCAATCCTGCAACAGAGACCTGATACAGCAGAGAAACGGGAGTGCAGAAGAGGCAAGAAGAGCAAGAACAACACTGAAACCACCTGGACAGCGCAACTGCTCTTTGTACCGAGCCAAAAGATGACCAAGTGTTAAGAGTGGCACTTCAGACTGTACACACCATGTCAACAACCTGCTGCACAATACACACTGAAACCATCCTGCTTCTGCTCAGCTATTTAATACCCAGCCTTCAGCTTCACAACTGCCTTAGGGCCAGGGCAGCGCCAGCAAGGACAGAACGTGGACAAAGGGAAAACAAAGCAGCAACTTTGATTTTCCAGAAAGCACCACACGAGATGGAAACTGTGGTTACAGTGGGCAGCTCTACAGAGCAAGTCACATCACCCACCAACAGCAAAGTAGCAAATCCTGAAAGAGATTTTCCTTAAAAGAAGACAAACCTCACTCAGTCCCTTGCTTTTTCACCTCAACTGACTAGTAAAAGCAAGTGGGCAGTCAGAGAGGGGTCTCCCTGCCCTGTGACCAGGATGCCTTTAGAAGCAAGTGCCTACAGGTTATGTGCAACCAGCCCATGTGTGTGCCAGAAGCGTGCCAGCAGGAGGGCGGTGACATTAACACACACAGACGTTTGCCATGGTATTTGTACCAGCAGCAGCCCCTCGCTGCAGGATTCCACGAGGAATGCTGGAAAACAGGGGCCACAAATACTCACTTGGCAAATTCTGAGTGGTTAAACCAAAAGGCATTGTGGCAAAAACACACAGTGCAGCTGCAGCAAGTAGAAATCTCTTATAAAGAGCTTAATTTTGACTCCCTCAGTGGTCAGAGCTGCAGGGACCCGGGGTAACACGCAGCTGAGTGCCAGCCTGTCAGTGAAACACAAGATCCCAGTGCCGTGCAAGGAGGTCTGGACTGAGAATGTATCTTCAGATTAACACAGATACATCTTGAAGATTCATCTTCAGTTTTAGCTGCTTATTTCTCCTCAGTGCCTTTCATCCATGCTCTACAAGGTAAGGGCTGTGGCATGCATTCTTGAGCCATTGAGAAAGGTTTGTTCTCCTAAATCCCCCAGGAGGCATGGAAACTCCACCGGCACCCCACGGACAACACAGTAACCGCACTGCATTCCTCCCAGGATGTTCCATGACCTACTTTCAGGTGACCCTCCTCTCCTCCTCCTTCAGGCAGCTCCTGCAGAGCCCAGCAGAGCCCCCAGCCCAGCCCAGCTCCTGCCAGCGTGTTCCTGGTGGGAACAGCAGGCTTGCGGAGAGCCTCCAAAAACATATGGGGCAGAGGGCGTGCAAATCCCCAGGGAGCAACCAGGCCTCATTCCACAAGCAGATGCAGGTGGAAAATGGCATTTTTGAGGAGCAAGGTGAAAGTCACCTTGGTATAGGAAAGCATTTAAAAGAGCAGCTACAGAAGCAGACCCAGCCCCTCATGTTTCCATAGAGGGGAGCTGCAGGGAGCTGGCTCCAGCATCTGCACCATGGGCACTTCATCCTGGGAAGGTTGCAGCCTCTTGCAAACCAATGCACAGCAATGCATAGATGACATTCCTCTGCAGCCATAGCCCAGGAAGGCCTGGGTGTTTAGCAATCATCTCAACTCCTGGCTGAACTCTCTGCCTGGGAACACAAGTGATCCCACTGCCAGAAGCAATTGACTCAGCCTCTGAGAAGGTACACTGGAGAAAAGGCATTCATGGGAAAAATGAGCACGAGGGCAACAGCACTTCTGTCTCCTGTTTATGGAAAACTGATGTAGTTGCAATCAAACACCCCAAACTCCAGAAGTCCCCTCGCAGTCAGTGCTGAGTGAGAACAGCAGCGCTGGTCCGCTCCAAGACTGCTGCACCGGCCTGAAGTTACTAACACTGAGTAAGGGATGTGAAGCTGCAAATAGAGGTCGGCAGTAGCTGCAGAAAACCTGCACTGGTGGGAGCCTGAACTGGAGTTACACACCCCATCAAAGGCTGTGCACAGAGGTACGGGGGGCAGCACAAAGCTGCAGTCCCAGCCTCAGCTGATGACACCCTGCCTCGCATCACCCCTCAGGGTACCAGTGTTGCTGCAGAGCTACCAAGAGGAGCCTTCAGAGGACACTCAAGGTGTGTCTATAGCTTCCATCAGCTGAACATTAACCACACGGCTGAGGGGTGTGAGTCAGAACCTGTCAGCAGGTTTGGCAGTCCAGGGCTTGGTGCGTTTCTGCCCTGTTTATTCTGAGAGAGATCAGTTGCCATCACTTCTTTTTTCTGCTCTCAAAACAATGCAAGAGCTGGTGTCAAGTTGTAACTGATGAGTTAAGAGGGACAAAACTTGGTACTCGGAAAATCCTACACATCAATCAGCTTTTCCAGGCTACTTTTCAACTCACTACGACACCTTCTTGCCAAGTAAAACACTGCCACCACCAGGGTGGGAGCGATCTTCCAGAGTCCGTTCCGGGAGCAGAGATTTGGAAGGAAACCAGTTTCCAGCTCCCTTAGCTATAAACCCCGAAGTTTCCACCCATTCAGAGCCTGTCAGTGTGCTCCCGTGGGCACTTGTGCAGGAAATCCAGCCTCCACCTGGGTTAGCTTTTAACTTCTGTTTGCTGGCTCCCTGCACACGGGTTAGATTTTACCCCGTGAACACAAGATGGCCTCAAATCATTAGTGCATCTGTTTGCACAAAACACATGCCACAAAGTGCTTCGTCAGCAACAGTGTCTCTTGCTCATCTTCTGCTCGCAGAGCAGCAACGAGCAGGTTTCCATCCTCGTGCCAAGGAGGACATGGTTCACACCATTAAGCGTCCAGAGGAAGTGTCAGAGTCCTTCACTTCCTTCCCCATTCCCTCCTCACAAAGCAAGGATGAGAGAAACCCAGGAAAGTACTGACCATTTTACTCCAAACCAAGTGTTCAGCTCCCATCTAACACCTACAGATGGTACAGAAGAGAAAGTAACAGAATGAACAGGACTGTTTCTTCTCTCCACCATGGCACCAAGCTGGATGAGTATTCCCCAGATCCCACTATTAAAACTGCTCCAAGACTGAGTTCTGTATCTCTAAGCACTTTTCGTTTCCCCCTAAATCAAGTTGCAAACCCTCCGGACAGGAGGATCACAGACATGCAGGGCTGTGTCTGTGTCAGCTGAGAAGCTGCCCAAGGTGCAAGCTCCTGGTAAGGGCACTTACTAGTGAATAACCCGAGTGCCCAGCGAACACTGGGAGCAGAGTGCAGGGGCTTATCTACCAACTTCACCTGCTCCCCCTGCACGAGCAGAGCACCCACAGCACCGGGGCTGCTCTCTTGCTGACGAACAGCACCGTGTCACGAGCCCCAGAGTGCCATTTCCCCTTCACTGCTCTGCCATGAACGCTGTCAGCCCTGCTTTGCCATTCTTTATCTCTCACCCAGCCTGACCTGCTTCAGAGAAGTCCTGAACCGGCAGCAGGACTCAAAACAAGGTCAATGGTTTAGTATTAGTCTCGCCCATTACGCAGTGTATTGGAACGCCACAGTATCTGTAGCTGCATATGTGCCTATGAAGCCAAAGCTGCTTTTTTTCCTCCTTCTATTTTGCACTACTTGAAGGGAGATATAAATCTCCTGGCTACAGCCTGGCAGTTCCAGCTCTGGGCAGCAGGCCACACAGAAATCCAAAGCTTCCTTTAGCTGCACTGCGTTTCCTTCGTTGTGAATACCTGGAAGCAGCCAATGCCTACATTTATTAACTTCTGAGAGCAGCTGCCTTCCTCCCACACCACCAGGCTGAGCTCACCTGCTATTTTGATGTTGAGGTTCGCATCCAGGAGCAGGTTTTCTGCCTTCAGATCTCTGTGGACAATATTGCGACAGTGACAGAAGTTGACAGCGGCAACTATCTGCTTGAACTTTCTCCGGGCTTCCTTCTCCGCCATGCGGCCGTGGGCCACCAAGTGATCTGCAAGGGATGGAGTGAGGAACAAAGTGGTTATTCACACAGGGGCTCCTCACACGCCTGTGGTGGGCAGCACACAGCAGGGAAATGGGGAACAACGCGGGCACCAGCCTCTTTTCCAGGCTCCAGCAGCGGATGGGGCACTGCTGGAGCTATATGGGGAGGATCCAGCATGCCACTGCCATGGCTGTGCCCAAGGGAAAGGCTTTACAATGATAAACCTTCCTCTGTATTTGTGCTTGGGATTGCCCCAACGCAGGGGCAGGACCTTGCACTTGGCCTTGTTGAACACGGACAAGCCTCCCATTCATTTCAGCCTGTGAACTGCCCTGAACTGGAGGGCTCGATAAGAGGTATCTTGAAAACAACAAAAGCCCACGGCCTGTGAAGGTTTCTCCTCGGGAGCTGGTGTTTTCCCAGTGCCCCATTAATCCAATACCTGTGACATAACTGCCTGACAGTAAATACTAATTACTGAGCTCCATCAGAGCAGCTCTGCCGGCTCCGGAGCCACAGCAGCCTCCTCCTCACGGCTCCCTGCTCGTGTTGTGCAACAGAGTGAAGCTGGTTTTCAAAGAACTTGTCAATTCGGTTTTCTTCATCAGATACACTCCTTCCATAAGCAAATCTGAAGCAGGGCCAGGGGAGGAAATCCATCACCAATCCCAACGTGACCCTCAATTCACCTGCTAGGAAAAGCAACACTTACTCTCTCAAACAGCCCTGTCATATTTCATCAAGTCAGTCGCAGGGTCATAAATTTCCTAGTCTATGGAGCTGGGAGGCTGATGAGCAGAGCGAAGCAAGGGCCTGCTCCACTTTAACCATTGCCACCCATCAACAGACACAGCTCAGCTCCTAAAGTCAGGGGCATTCACACTGTTTATTGCTCTTGAATTCGGTAGCACAGCCTGCCGATACAGTGGAGTGCAAGGCTCCAACCTCCCGACATTCCTCAAAGTATTCCTGAGGTTCTCCTGCAGGTAAGAAACCAAATCCACTACTGCAGCAGGAGTCTTCTAGAGGGCTCTCCAAGGGTGGTTTTGCCCAAGCCGGGGTCAGTGGCCCACAGACAGAGACGTTCAGGTGTCCTTGTTCCGAGCCAGCCCAGCTTTGGCTGCACATAACATCTGCTTAGGTTCGGCATCAAATCCCACTTTTCCCAAAGAGAAGCGAGTGGAGCCTGTCCCCAGGCTCTGCATGCAGGCACAGCACTCACAGACCGCTGACATTTCTGCCCAAGCTCCAGAGGAAGGACAGAAACAATGAAGCTACAGAATACTTCACATACCACCAAGGGCAACTGTATGCCAAAATTAACCATTGCGAGCTTAGCCTGCAGAAACCTCTCGTGCAGCAGGGGTTACAGAGATGAGCCTCGTGCTCAGCTGGGAGCCAGCACACTGATCCAGAGCACAGCCTGGCTGTTCTCTGGACTTCTGGAGCACCTGATGCTGCTCTCTGCATTGAAGAGCCCCAGTAATATCCCACACTAGGGAAGCAGCACCTTCTGGTCAAGCAACAGGGCTGACACGCAAGTTTCCACTCTGTGCCCCTGGACAGACTCCTCGTGCTTTCAAGATGTTTTCTGTCTGGAAAGCAAACGCTGCCAAAGCTTCACATCTCCTCCTTGTGGTGGATTAAGTCACATTTCCAGTATACTTGGTGACCCTGTGATCCCAGAAGCAGTCTGACCTTGCAGAGACCGGTACCACGTTGTTGAACGCGTCTGTCCGGAGAGCTGAGGACAAGCAGTGGAGATGGGGCAGAGGCATGATCAGGCTCAGCACATTACCCAGATGACAGGGCTGAGCTTTCCGAGCCCTTTTGTCAATCAAGCAAGTACCCACGTTCTGGTGAGGACTGCACATTATTTACAGAATCCATAGTAAACAGCGGAAATCAAACCAGACTTTCAGACTATGTTCTGTTTGACCTCCCAAGAAGGACACTCGAGCGACCTGGAACAAAGAGCACCCTCTGTTTAAAAGGAGCCATCCATTTGTTGGTAATGTCAAACCAGCGGCTCAACCGCACGCAAAACATGCACAGGGACAGAAATAACAATTTACATTTTGGTGCTTAAGCCCCCAGCAAAAGCCAGGCTCCTCCTGGTCCCACGCACCCTCCGCCAGGCAAACAGTGAGTTACCACAGTGCTTCCAGGAACAGGAGTCCAAGACACTCCGTGGCTCTGCTCAGCCACCGAAGGAGCTCTCAGCCCCTTACTGGCAGTTCAGATACACAGGTTGCAAAGCTCTCCCAGGTGACAACCCAGAGCTCGACCACTGAGACAGACAAGCCTCCAGCCAGACCGAAACCAAGGCTGTTCAGAGAAAGTACGATTCCTTAAACTACAAATGCCAACCTGTGTTACTGCCTGTGGAATACTGACAGCTGAATGGTACAGTTTAAGCCCTTGGAAGTTTTTACAGCACCAAGAGAAACAACTCAGATTTGCTTCGAACAAAAACTCACAGCTTGGGAAAGGACGACTGTAACTCAGGTGATAGGAGTGCCCAGCCTCACACCACATCCAGAAAGTGGTTGTCAGCCCCTGCCCCTTGTGCAGCCCAGCTTTAGGACCTCGGTCATGCAGATGTTAGGAGGTAACTAAGAAAAAATTGCTGAAAGACTCTGCACAAGCACATGTAACAGAGAGGGTTCCCCACTCACAGCTGCTCAGAGAAGCCTGTGCTGCGCCAGACCTTCTCTCCACAACATGAGGACGTGAGATTCTTCAGCACAGGAGATGCTAATGACTGCGAGGAAACCTTCCCGAAACGGGTTGCTGCTTCCTCCCTCTAAATTGCTTCCGCTGGTAGAACAAAGTCCTAATGGCTCCTCAGGAAACCCTGATTACAAAAAGCTGAGACTTCAGTTTCCCCCTCTCGGCTCAAACCACAGCGCCTGAACCCGGCCAGTGGGGGCTTTGGTCTGGAAAAGCCTCTCTGCTGGTACAGAGCTGGCTGCTCCCAGCTCCCCACAGGACAAATGCTGGGCAGTGTAATGGAAATTAGCCATGCTAATGAGCTGAATTTACTCCGGCATGAAGCAGTGCAGAAAGCAATTAGATTTGCACTTCGGCTCATGGAGAAGGCTATTTTTGTAAGCAAGAGAATTCATTCCAAGTTTGTATATGAGCTTGCACATAGTTCTGCATTTAAAAAAAGATGAGCCCATTGCTGCCAAATGCAACAGAAGAGGGAGAAAGTAAGAAGTGATTTATGCTCTCCTGTGGTGATCTGCACACAAGAGAGCTCTAGGGCACATTCAAGTGACTTTGCTGCACAAGGCAAGAGGAGCCTCACAAGCCTCTGGAGCTGCTGCGTGTCCCACACCATGATCCATGTTCGAGGAGACAACTGGGAGGCTCAGCTGGAGGAAGTCAGGTTTCCACAAGGCCATCCACGACATCAGCTGCCACTTGCTTCTTCCTTCAGCTGTCACCTTCTCAGAGAGGAAGCCCAAAGGGGATGGACGATGTTAGGAAGAAGCCACAGCAACCATCTACAGAGGTACTGAGGAACTGGAAAACAGCTCAAGTTGTCTTTTCCTTAATTTGGGGCTTCTCTTGCTTCACTAAGAGCTTCACCTTTTACTACAAGGCAGCCTCTCTTGCAGCAAAGTGAGCTCCTGACATTGAAAGTCAATCTTCTGCAGTGGCTCAAGAGGACAAGGAGGAGAGCAGCGCCATTTAGCTGACAGGCTGTATGTGACAGTCCTCCCAAGGACACTGTCTGGAAGCAGACTGAAGCCAGCTCCAGCCAAGCACAAAGGATTTCCCCCTTTCCTGCATCTCACACGGGCTAAGCTAGTACAGATCCCAGTGTGTACCTGTATTTCCATCTCTACAGGTTTTCATACTGGTCATGGCAATAAAACAAGCAAATGAAGGAATCAGCCACTAGTTCTTGCACTTGTGCTGCACTCATAGTCTTTTCCTGTAAAGAACAGCTTCTGTAGTCAAGAAAGCTCAGCCAAAACATTGTTAGCAGACAATGGAGTTGAAAATGGATGTAACTAATGCAGGCTAAGATAACATCAGGTATCCAGAAGATAAAAACATGCATGGCTCTGAGAACAGAACACTGCAGAGCCACAGGACTGCCTGTTTCTTTGAAAGCCATTAACAAACACTGACGTTTCCGCTGTTGTCAACAAGCTTCATACAACTTGCTGGAACCAAGCGTTCAGCAACGCTTTCAAACCCAACCAGGTGACTATTCCCAACATCTTTAATCCCAGAGTCAGCATCGAAGCAGAGCACCACCTGCCAATGAAACCCAAACAAGCAGCAGAGGTAATGGAAGGGATCATGTCTTTCTTTACTCCTCTCAGCAATGGAAAGTTTTCAGGCTGAAGGGCATCTCTCAGCTGCAGTAACAGAGCGTGGCAGCTATTTTCAGTTTACTGGAGTTGACCAAGTGCATTATCTGATTAAAGAATGTAGTAAATGTACTTACCAAATATTTCCCCTCCACTGGCATACTCGGTCACTAGATAAATCATCCGCTCCGTCTCCATGACCTGGGCACAAGGACAGACAAGGGACATGTTAAGGACACTGCCCTCTGCAAAAAGAAGTGCAGCTAAATAAGAATTGACCCTTTCTATACCACGTGTGACTGCTTTCATTGAGTCAGGACTATTACTCTCCTCTGCCTTAGAGCTGTGCCAAGGAACAGGCGGGAGCTGGGGCATGTAAGAATCAAACGGCAGGTTCTAAACAGCGACGCTGTAACTAAGCACACTTCACCTGCGCCTTCCTCCTCTTGTCTTTGCCCCTCCTTTAGTGTTTGCTCCCCTGGGAGACTTTTCAGGGCAGCCACAAGGGAACCACTTCACCTTCCCAATTACCCAGGCCACTGCAGGCACTAAAACCACCAACAATTTTGCCAAAGGGGGAACACTCACTGACTCGAGAAGTGACTTTGGAATGAGCCAAGCCCCGTGAGACATGAGGCAGAGCAGAGGCTTTGCTTCAGGAGCCCGTGTGTTTCAGCCAGGTACCACCCCGCTTTAACACACATCTGTAGGAGCCTGACAGGGAAGTGGGGCTGCAGCAGCCCAGCGGGCCAAGGCCTCCAGTTTATTCCTGAGCTGGTGATCCAGAGCCTTTCACGGCGAGTTTAAAAGTGCCATTTATTCCAGATTCCCAATGGAAAGCTGTGAAAGGCTCCGAATCACCAGCTCCAGGGTTTAGTAGTTTGTTACCTAAAAATCAGTGCCACTGGAAGCCCCAGGAAGATCAGCCAGGTGGAACACCAGTGGGTACTCTTCCCTCACTTTAGCAAAGCCAAGCCACAAGTGTCATCTGCTCAGTGTCACCTCAAAAACTATACATGGAATAAAATAGGCTGGAAAAAGGGTTTATTTGTAAGAAACAAGAACAAGCATTCAGGAGTCTGTTTGCAAAGCAGCATTCCCCAAGTACCCTCAAAACGCTGCAGTTCTGCAGTGCCTGCTGGAAGCATCTCACACTCTGTGGTTTGGCCTGAAGAGCTAAACATTAACCTCTGTCACTTCTACTTGGCTTTAACTCCTTGGAGTCCAGCTAAGTGCTCACATCCATCAGGCAGAGATAAGAAGTACACTGGGCTTAACAGACAAGAGGTGGTTCTAGGGAATGGCACCTTCTACTGAGGGCGCCCACGACTTCTCCTTTCAAAAGCACACCCGAAATCACCTCACGTAAGGCAGTAACTGCAACATGCTTCCCCCAGGATCCAAGCTCTTTGCACTCCAACGCCTGACAGCCAGCCAGGCAGCCACAGACAGGAGAGCACCTGCCCAGAGAGCAGCCGAATTCCCAGCCACAGCCTGGATGGGAGCTCCCTCCTCTCCCAGAGCAGCCGGTGAGTGCGAGCCCACCGGCAAGCACAGCACAGGGGCAGGGCCATGGCCAGCTCTGGCAGGACGCTGGGAAGGGGCCTCCATCCCACAGCTTCCAGACTGGGACTGGAAGTAACAGAGGAGAGCACACAGCTTTTGAGCACTCTCTGGTTCTAGGTCCCTGCTTGAGCCCTTGTATCAGAAAGGTCCAGCGAGGGAGTCTTTCATCTGGCCACCAGCTTCCAAAGCAGCATTAAATGTTTCACCAAGGGGGTGGCCTCCTTAATCCCTCTGCTCCCACCACTCTGGTGCTGTCTGCATGTCTCTGGCCTGTTCCAACCTCCCCGCTGCTCTATTTGAGCGTGCACTCGGAGGGGCACCACAAACACGTGCGTAAGAGGCAGCACACGTGGGTTGTGCCTCTGGTGGTTGGGTTTGGAGACCACTGCAGAACAAGTCTGCAAACAATCCCCCAAAGTGTCTCTGCCACTATTGATCACCTTTCCAGGAAAACAGGGAGCGATCAGTAAGTCCTTGGGCCACTGGGTGAACGGTCAGAGAGAGGAGAGCAGGGGAGCTCTGGCCTCATCCTGCTGGTGGGTGAGACTTACTCTCTCCCTTATGCTGACAAGGGGAGCCCGCATCCGGTTTCGACTGGGAAGCTGAAAAGCACACAACAGCCATAAACAAATGGCAAGAGCCCAGCCTGCAGAGGAAGCAGCATCTCCCAGAAAGGGGAGGATCAGCCACACTTTCCCGTTGCTCCCTTAATCAAAGTACTCAGAGACCTTGGAAACATAAAGGACTTTCCCAGTATTTCAGGCAGGAGAAACAGAGGGATATCCCTAGAGAAAGCACTACTACACAGTGTAAAGGGGCAGAAAACACACTGCGGAGGGTGCTCCTACCTGGTATAACCTGATGATATGTGGGTGGCAAAGCATCTTCATGATCTGAACTTCTCTAAATATCTTCTTCAGGTTCTCTTCATCCAGCTGTGTCTTATCAATTATCTTGATAGCGACCTAGCACAAGGGGAGAGCAGGAGAGAGGTTACTGACCTGTTTTCAAAAGCAGGCCCTGCACGTCAGACCTGCTGTGCTGAACAGAATACACAGTCCCTGCCTCAGAAAGGCTCCGAGCAGCCTCCCAGAGCCCAGCACCTTGTCATGAGGACGGCAGGAAGCAGCTTTGCTTCCTGCCTCTCTGGGTATTTTACCTACAGAGGGCACCCCTTTGAGAGCAGGGTGCAGAAGGGATTTTGGGCTCTTGCCTGTTACCACAGCACACCATGTTCATGGGGTACCCAACACTGTGCTGAAAAGCAGGTTGTTCCTGAGCTCTTGGGTACACTTCAAGCCCAGACATTTGTGTTTGCTCCAAGGAACCTGGTTCCTAGATCTCATCACCCAGCTTCACTCTGTGGCCTCACCATTGCCAGGTTTACTCACTGCTGCCCGAGCACCAGCCCAAGAGCTGCACTGCTGTGGCACAGGAGCAGGGATGGAAGTGGGGGAGTTCAGGTTTCTAACAATTGAGGTATTTATTTATCTATTGTAAACCAGAAGTGCTCTGTAACACCACACTAACCTACTTTAAACAAGTCTAAGTGCTTCCAGTCAGCTGCTCTCCAGCACTGGAGACTTCCTTGCTTCTCTTCCCTCTGCCTTCCCTGAGCATCCTTCCCCGAGCATCCTTCCCCAGCACTGGCAGCTCCCAGCTCTTTGGGGCACGGACAGGGAAACCACCCGACTCCAAACGGGGAGAGACACCTCTGTGCTGGTGATGCACAACCCGAGGGATGTGACCAGGAGCCCCAAGCCCAGTTGCAGAAGTGCCTCGCTCTGAACAGCCTCTGGTGTGCACCAGGGACATGGACAAGCGCTCTGCGCGCAGCAGTGTGCCATGGCCACCAGCAAAACACGCTGTGGCACCCGATCCAAAACACTTCTCCTCCTCCTCCAGGGCCAAACCCGTAAGTGATGCTCCAACAGGCACGGTGCCACTCGGAGACAAACACACAAAGGGATCATCAGGGTCTTTAAGGGAACAATCTGAAGCACGTGAAAATTAAGCTTCATTTTGTACGTGGAAGCCCTTGCCAGGGGAATAGCTGCCCCGCGCAAGCACAGCGCAGCACAGCCCCAGCAAGGCTCCGAGCACAATAAGCTGTTTCTTTCCTTTGAAACCTCTAATTCAGAGCGCAG